ATAGAGTATATATAATATACTCTAGTATTAAATATATATGTAATATACTCTCTAGTTATAGAGTATATATATGTATATATATATGTATATGTATGTACATATATATATGTATGTATATATACATATATATATGTAATATACTCTCTAGTTATAGAGTATATATCATATACTCTCTAGTATTAAAAACAATTTTAAGAGAAAATAAATTGCAAATATTTTAAAGGAATTAAAATTACATAAGGCATATAAAAACATATGAGATACATAAAAATGTAAATGTATTTGTTAGGAACAAACAATGAAAATAAATTGACCAGGAAGTCAACTTCTAGGAAAAGAACAGCTAAGGAAGAAAAAGCAGAAGAAATAATGAGCAGAGAATAGTAACTTCAAATTTTAAGTAGTACTATTATTGATCAATAAAATTAAAATCTTATTCTTTAAAATAACATTGATTTTGATCAAATGAAAGAGGAATGAAACAACTTCCATAGATTTATATATATAAAGGATATTTCTAAATAAGAGAATTATGTGTATAATTGTATACCAACAAACTTTAAAATCTAGATGAAATCTTTGACTACATCAGAAAATATATAAAATTGAGCCTAGGAGAGGCAGAAAATCTAAACTGATTAATAGCTGTTGAAAATTTACAAAGATGATCAGTGATCATCTAAAAATGCTTCAGTACTAGATAACTTATAAACATTCTACTAAATCTGCCTGAAGGAGAATTTCCATGTTACATTTATTGTTCTGGGGCATAGGTAAATTTGAAAAGCTTCCCAATTTATACCGAAAATATACTGCAACCTTTGTATCAAAACCAAGAGGAATGGTGACATATACCAGCCTCACTTACTAACATAATCACAAAGATTCTAAATAAAATAGTATCAAATAATATGTTGCTAATTGTTGTTAAATGATAATACATTAATTATTTTTATTATTTATTTAACAACAATTAGCAAAATATTATACGCTACTATTTCAGCAATACGTGAACCATGAACTTCCAGATGTTCAAACTGGTTTTAGAAAAGGCAGAGGAACCAGAGATCAAATTGCCAACATCTGCTGGACCATCGAAAAAGCAAGAGAGTTCCAGAAAAACATCTATTTCTGCTTTATTGATTACGCCAAAGCCTTTGACTGTGGATCACAATAAACTGTGGAAAATTCTGAGGGAGATGGGAATACCAGACCACCTGACCTGCCTCTTGAGAAACCTGTATGCAGGTCAAGAAACAACAGTTAGAACTGGACATAGAACAACAGACTGGTTCCAAATAGGAAAAGGAGTATGTCAAGGCTGTATGTTGTCACTCTGCTTATTTAACTTATATGTAGAGTACATCATAAGAAACGCTGGGTTGGATGAAGCACAAGCTGGAATAAAGATTGCTGGAAGAAATAATCAATAACCTCAGATATGCAGATGACTCCCCCCTTATGGCAGAAAATGAAGAAGAACTAAAGAGCCTCTTGCTGAACATGAAAGAGGAGAGTGAAAAAGTTGGCTTAAAGCTCAACATTCAGAGAACTAAGATCTTGGCATTCAGTCCCATCACTTTATGGCAAATAGATGGGGAAACAGTGGCTGACTTTAATTTTTTGGGCTTCAAAATCACTGCAGGTGGTGATTGCAGCCATGAAATTAAAAGACGCTTACTCCTTGGAAGGAGAGTTATGACTAACCTAGACAGCATATTAAAAAGCAGAGACATTACTTTGCCAGCAGAGGTCCATCTAGTCAAGGCTATGGTTTTTCCAGTAGACATGTATGGATGTGAGAGTTGAACTATAAAGAAAGCTGAGCACTGAAGGATTGATGCTTTTGAACTGTGGTGTTGGAGAAGACTCTTGAGAGTCTCTTGGACTGCAAGGAGATCCAACCAGTCCATCCTAAAGGAGATCAGTCCTGAGTGTTCATTGGAAAGACTGATGTTGAAGCTGAAGTTCCAGTACTTTGGCCACCTGATGCAAAGAGCTGACTCATTTGAAAACACCCTTATGCTGGGAAAGATTGAGGGCAGGAGGAGAAGGGGACAACAGAGGATGAGATGATTGGATGGCATCACCGACTCAATGGACATGAGTTTGGGTGAACTCCGGGAGTTGGTGATGGACAGGGAAACCTGGCATGCTACACTTCATGTGGTCGCAGAGTCAGACACGACTGAGTGACTGAACTGAACTGAATAATACATTAAAACCAAGAAACTTTCTATCAACCTATAATACTCCAAAACTACTATTCAATTCACATCCCCACCAGGAATACTTAAGAATACCTGATTTTCTGCATCTTTGCCAACACCAAGGGTGGTAGGTGAAGACAACTCTGGTTTTCTTGTTTGACTCGTCTTTTTTTCTGAGAAAGACATATAAATTGAGTGATATTTAAAACATTTTAACTTCAAATTTAAATTTAAAGATTTAGAGGAGTGGAGACATAATATCTCAGGTCAACTCAAGGGAAAATTATGAAATAAATTTCATCTTTGGATCCTTCAGTCTCCCTCTGGTCAGACTCTTTCTGGAGTCCTTAGATTCTTCAGTCTCAGCATGGACAGGTGGACAGCTATTCCCTCCACACCAGCTTTCCAGAAAACCTGTAATGCCCCAGAGCACAATGCCACCTCAGGTTACTTGATAAACAATAGCACAAATGTCTGTGTCTCCACCACCCCCACTCCATACTGTAAACCTTCCTTTCCCCTCCTCAAATCTGTTCCAAAGAAAGCCTGGTAATCTGATATTTCAGAGTAAATTTAATTTATCTATTTGCTGCCTCAGAAGAATTTGCATCTGAAGTGGGACCTCTAATTAGTCAGTGGAATTTAGGCATCTGCAAAACAAGTAGGTGAGACATTTAAGGAGTTCCATTTGATGCCTAATTTCTGAATTCTTCTAAAACAATGAGAGACGTTATTCTGATAGTCTGTAATTTGCTACCAGCTCAGCACACAATAATACCTTTCGGACCTTAGCCAGCCCTGGCTTAAAGAGTTAAAGGTTTAGCCAGAATTCCACTTCTGCCTCTTGGTTCTCTCTCCAGTGGACTTCAAGTTTTCTTCCCAATTCAGGCACTCCTGAGTTCAAAACAGAGAACTGCCGCTCATCTCCCAAGTGGATTTTCTGGGGGCATCAAGAGCTGTTTGGGAGAATGTCCTGTTTGGCACTTTGGCCAAACTTGTGCTTATGCAGAAGCAGATTTTAGTGCAAACCTGCTGGAGCCGGGGGTACCGCCTCCAGCCTGTCAGAGGTCAAAGCTGTGGCCTGGAGGCCAAACACAGCACTTAGGTGGATTTTGCCTGGCTCCCTCTATATCTTTTACATTTTTTAATTCAAAGGCCTATGAGGCTTTTCACCTAGTAATCTCTGCCTTACACTCACCCCAGGCTCTGATTGAAGGACATAAACAGATATGAACGGTTAAGCATAAGCAGCTACTTAACCCATTCGAGTCAGGTGCTCAAAGATCTTGTTCCTTCCCTTAGTTCTTCCCAGTATTTAAGGCACAAGACAGAAACAAGAGAGCTACTGACTTCCTGGCATAGCTGTCCTTCTAACTTGATGCTGACCATAAACAAATTACTCTATCCCCGGGCAGTGGGCTAGAGGATTTCTAAGCAACTGATAGTTTAACAGTCTGTGAGTCTAGGTACCTGTGCTCTTCATCATGGTAAAAAATTTAGAATTATATATTGTTGAATTGCTGAGTTGTTTCTGACTCTTTGCAGTCCATTGACTGAAGCACACGAGGCTTCCCTATCCTTAAACATCTTCCCCAGAATTATGTATTAGCCAATCCTATGAAGTTTACTTCCTATGTAGTTAGAAATAAGCAAGCTCTATGAGTTCCCCATTTTACAGGTAAACAAGCTTGAAGTCTAAAGCAACTGAATACAGTAGTAATTCAATCAATGTAGATATTCAAATCTTTTGGCTTCCTTAAGTAGCTTCTCTCTGACTTGGAAGAAAAATCTTCATTATCAAGTGTGTTTTACTCTTTCACTGCTACCTCTGTCGGAGAAGGCACTGGCACCCCACTCCAGCACTCTTGCCTGGAAAATCCCGTGGATGGAGGAGACTGGTAGGCTAAGGGGTCGCCGCTAACAGTCGGACATGACTGAGTGTCTTCACTTTCACTTTTCACTTTCATGCATTGGAGAAGGAAATGGCAACCCACTCCAGTGTTCTTGCCTGGAGAGTCCCAGGGACTGGGGAGCCTGGTCGGCTGCCGTCTATGGGGTCGCACAGAGTCGGACACGACGAAAGCGCCTGAGCAGAAGCAGCAGCAGCTACCTCCGTACTCTCTGCCTCCTCATTCATCCCCAAAGAATACTTTTCTTACCAAAATTAAAAAGAAAAATGTTATTTTATTGTCTGCTTTTTCATTCTTACCACCTGGATACTGCTAAATCATTCTCAAGAAGGTTTAAAGTTGTTGAGAGGACTGAAGGATCTAGAGGCATCACAATATTGAAACCCTTGAGTAGTTATTGCCAGGAGAGAATGTAGTGATGGCTATATTGTACGCATGCGTAAACACACAAACACTTACAGGCACGAACACATGCACAGATGCACATGGTACCTTTACTGAAGGGCGTAGTAACTTTTTAAACACTTAATTTCTCAACTCGGTCTAAATTATGGCTTACACATTTCTGCAAATCTGGTAAATTTTATTCTAAAGGTGAAATGATAAAAGGGGACATTTTCCTTTGTGTCTGGCTTCAGAGATTGTAACCATAATCAGTGAATTATCTAAATTGGTTTCTGTTTGGAGGCTACTGAGGCATCTCCCTCTTAATGGATTACAGAGCCCTCTAATTGAATTCTTGCCATGTATGCTTTCTCTGTGGTTAAGAATCTACCTTATAGATATTAAGATAGTCTGTGTTCAAATACTGTCTCATTGATTTAATTTCTCTTGAGGGAAAAAAATGTATTGCTAATGGTCACCTTCTCTCTAATTGCAGATTACAGTATTTCGGATGGGATCAGAAGGACACCAGGACATTGATTTAGCCATCCTGACCGCTTTGCTCAAAGGTAAAGAGTTTCTATATACAGGGAGTACAAAAGTGATTTAAATGGATTAGACAGCAACCTTATGTCTCCTCATAGTGGATATAATCTCAAATAATACCATGACACATCCAATTATTGATAACATAAGGGCTTCTCTTGTAAGACATTCTTTTTTAATTTATTTTTTAATTGGAGAGCAATTGCTTTACAGAATTTTGTTGTTTTCTGTCAAACCTCAACATGAATGAGCCATAGGTGTACATCTATCCCCTTCCTTCTGAACCTCCCTCCCATCTCTTTCCCCATCCCACCCCTCTAGGTTGATACAGGCCCCTGTTTGAATTCCCAAGACAAACAGCAAATTCCCGTTGGCTATCTATTTTATATATGGTAATGTAAGTTCCCATGTTACTCTCTCCATACATCTCCAGACATTCTTAATGCTATTAAATTTCCCTGTAATAGGCCTATTATAGTGTGACTTGATTTCAGAAAATTTATACATTTAAAAAAATTTTATTTATTTATTTACTTTTTGCTGTGCTGGGTCTTCGTTGCTGCACAGGCTTTTCTCTAGTTGTGGCAAGCAGGGACTACTCTCTAATTGTGGCATGCGTGTTTCTAATTGTGGTGGCTTCTTTTGTTGTGGAGCGTGGACTCTAGGGCACTTGGGCTTCAGAAGTTGTGACCTGAGGGCTGAGTAGTTGGGGTTTCCAGGCACTAGGACACAGGCTCAGTTGCTGTAACATCTTCTCAGGGATTGAACCTGTGTCTTCTGCATTGGCAGGTGAATATTTACCACTGAACCACCAGTTAAGCCACTCAGTAAAATTTAAATGTACTACAATTCAGTCATGTCTATTGAATCATAAAAATTTATGAAGTAAAAGGCATGCCTTGTCCCTTGATAATAAATAAAGTAAAACACCACATTTATCTCCTTGAACCAAAACTCATAGTAAATGGAGATGTGGCCCAATTATCAGTTAAAATATTAGTCATCATAATGTCTTCTATTCAAAATATTTTCTTTCTCTTTCACCAGTTTGTGAGACAAGTGTACGTCACCTTCAAGTTAGTCAGAATTTATTTGTTCTAATATATAATAGTTGTTTTCCAACTGTTATGTGTGTGACAGACCATATTAAATGCATTTTATATTATAACCAAGTAGTTACACATATGTAGTTAGAAAGCTGAAATAAAATAAATAAAATAGTTTTTACATTTACTGTATACAATGAAATTGGATATTTTCAATTCTAACCTATTCTATTCTCTTTAATGCTTATTATATCCCACCAAATTGATTTATGACCCACTAATGGGTCATAACTTGCTGTTTTGAAAACACGGCCATAGAAGATTAAAGGAAATTATGATTGCTCTCAGAAATTAACATTTCTAATCACTATAATGAACATTACTTATGCAGCAGTAGATGCTAATGGGAATTTATGCCATCAAAATATTATATGGTGTGTCAACTCTATTTTGTGCAGGCTTTGAGATGCTCTCTGATTTTAACCCAGTTGATTTGTGAAGGATATCAAGTGTAATGCTTTTGCTGACTTCCTTAGTGGCCAAGAATATATTTATATCAGTTTCAAATTCTTTTAGTTTGTTAAATTTTTCTTCCAGTGTATTTTAAAACTTATGCCTGGGCAAGTAACATGGTTTAACATTTGATTTTTATAATTATGCTTAGTTTTCAATTATCTAATATATAAGTAACCTTTGTGCAATTCAGTTTTTATTCTCTCTATCATCTGGGAAAATCAGAAGTAAGGTGGAAAGAGGAAGACAAGAAAGAGAAATGAAACTAAGCACTGGTCCATAGATCAGGACCTAGGGGAGAAAAGAATGAACAGGGAAAATATACATTTGCTGTTCCTTCTTTTTTGTCCCATTGAGTTTCATTCTTTTTTAAGATCTGTATATATTAAAGAATACTATTTATATGATACAGATTTATTAAGTATGTTCAAAAATGAAGAGAAAAGGGAGTAAAAAAGTTGTTCCAGAGATCTAGGAAGCCCATAGTTTCTCATGCTGACACCTGGGGTAGCTTTTGAGACTAGATGATGTCACATTTGTCTTTCACATTAAGGAAACTGCTCTGATATGCATGATCTGAAACTAGAGACTGTACACCCTTCATCCTTCTCCTGCTTTTCAGTTCTGCCTCCTCCCCTCAACCCCTGCTCACACATACACCCAGGGAATTCAAGGACTAGGAGCAGAATAGAGTTGCCAGAGAAAATGCAGGACATTGAATGTTTAGATCAACAGTAAGTAAATTTTTTAGCTTGAACTTGTCCTAAATATTGCATAGGACATACTTACACCAAAAAAAAATTATTTGTTATTTATCTAAAATTAAAACACAGCTGGGAATCCTGTATTTTTATTTGCTAAATCAGGTTATTTTACTCAGAGGAGTTGTGACACTATTAATACTTCTGAACTTCAAACACCTCTAGAGATTCTGCAGGAAAAGTAACTCAAGAATCTAAGATCCCCTCATTCTTCCATCTGCCTCTGTCTCTCAGGCAGGCCCTGCCTAATCATAGCAATCAGAGATTTCCACTGGAAAGGGCCCCAGACTTACCTTAACAAACTATCCAGTGCTTATCAACTTGCTCTGGCAGTCACCTCATCCTATCTGCATCCCCTATGCAGCAGTTTCAGTGAAGCCAGAAAACATCTACTCATAGTAGAAGTTATTGTAAGTGACCCCTTGATCCTTTCTGTGCATAGAAAGAAAAAGTGAAAGTGTTAGTCACTCAGTCATGTCTGACTCTTTGTGACCCCATGGACTTTAACCTGCCAGGCTAAAAGTCCATGGAATTCTCCAGACAAAAATACTGGAGTGGGTAGCCATTCTCTTCTCCAGGGGATCTTCCTGACCCAGGGATCGAACCTGGGTCTTCTGCATTGCAGGCAGATTCTTTACCATCTGAGTCACAAGGGAAGCCTTCTGGGCATAGGGTTACTCCCAATTTTTTCCTCTTTTCTCATACACCTTGGAGGTCAAATCATGTGGGTATATATTCTTTCACTTCTGTACATGCACTGAAGTGTAATATGTGATGACAGCTGTCCTCTATAAAGGAGGAATTCTTTTTCCTTAGGTTTAATCTTCATTGGTAAGTTCATCTGTGGCATAAAGAGAATAACTTCTATTGCTTACTTCTTTTTCTGAAAAGTATTTTAGAAGAGAGTGCACCAATAATATATTCCTCCTCAAAATTGTCAAAATCATCAAAAACAAGGGTAGTCTCAGAAATTGTCACAGCCCCAAGGAGCCTAAGGAGACCTGACATCTAAATAATAATGTGGTTTCCTGGGTAATATTCTTGAGCAGAAAAAAAAAAAAGAGCATTAGGTTGAAACTAGGAAAATCTTAATAAAGTATGGACTTTAGTTTATTTTTTTTAAATGTTAAGAGAAAAATAAATTATGCTCTCATATATTATAGATCTGAACAATAGACAGACTGTAGCCAAGAAAACTCCACACTTCTTCATGTCAAAGCAACAAAAAAGGAAAAAGTATCTTATGGAATTAACTGTACAAGTCAAGTACAGATATAATCAAAACATCCACAGGCAGTATTTAAAGAGTCTATATAAATCACACAGGCATGGATAATGTGCACGTGATCAGTCACTCAGTTGTGTCTGACTCTTTACGACCCTTTGGACTGTAGCCCGCCAGGGTCCTCTGTCCATGGGATTTTCCAGGCAAGAATACTGGAGTAAAAATTCAAATACCAAGAAAAATAGTCAATGTTCTAACTTTAGAAAAATTTCTAATAAGAATGCTAGTGATTAGATTAAATCATACAAAACAATGAAAATCACTACTTTCTGAGCCATTTTCCTTTAAAACTGTATCTTTTAAAAAACTAAACTTGAATAATAAAAGTAAATAAAATCTAATGTTTTGAAACTACTTTTGAATGCATCCTCTCTAACTCTATAAACTAGAAAATGCATAATTATTGTCACAAACTAGTACTGGCATCAATACACAATTAGTCTTGCTAAGTAACTCATTTTTAAGTGGCTTGATTAATCCTTGATAAAGCAAAATGCTTCTGTGCTGTGCTTAGTCACTCAGTCGTGTCCAACTCTTTGTGACCCAGTGGTCTGTAGCCCACCAGGATCCTCTGTCCATGGAATTCTCCAGATAAGAATAGGGGAGTAGGTCGCCATGCCCTCCTCCAGGGGATCTTCCCAACCCAGGGGTTGAACTCGGGTCTCCTGAATTGCAGATGGATTCTTTACTGTTTGAGCCAGCAGAGAAGCACAATATTCTAAATTAGTTTATGTCCAGTAATTCTTTGCACCAGATACATTTCATAAGTAACTAGCACCTTAAAATGTTTACTGAGAAACTGTCTTTGCTTAAACTTAGATGACTCATGAATAGGTTTTATGGGAACTTATTACGGCCCTGCTTTGAAAATTAGAAAACTATTTCTAATTATGTGTTTGATCTTTCCCATGCTTTTTTCTGTGTGCAGGCAGCTTAAACAACACATGCATGATTGCTTTCCTTTTAATACTGTTTTTTTTAAAACCCAAAACTGTTTAGATAGCCTTATTAAGACCAAAAAAGGGATATTCATATTGATACTTTCATCACGTAGTGCAGTGCAAAGTTACCATTGTTATTAATTATTATGCAATGGAAATAGATGATATTTTTTCCAAAAGAGATCACCAAAGTTAAAATGTGTGGCATATTTATTTTAGGCTTAAAAGGGCATAGGAAATAAACTTTTGGAGAACAGTGAAATATTTCACTTAGAGATGAAATTCACTCTGTAATTTTTACAATGTAGGTTCTTTGCAAAAGTATTATTAAACCTTTCTCTATATGAGACCACTTTTCACCTTCCTCATGTGCTTTCACTACAAGCCAGGCTCCCCCAAATCCACTTGTTTCCTAATGGTTCGTTTTTATCTCTTTAGCCAGATCTTTAACTTTGATCTCATGGAGCAGATTGACCA